CCTCGCTGCCGTTTTTGTATAAATTAATAAAGGAAAAGCCTGGCGACAAGAGGGCAGCGCCTCGTGTGTCCAACGCGCTGCGCGGGGTGGGCGCTGGGCACCGCTCGCAGCCCCGGCGGGAGGGCTCGGGGGGACCGTGTGGGTGCTCACTGGGTGCCACGGGGGTGCATGGGGTGCTGCGGGGGTGCTGCGGGTGTGCATGGAGTGCTCTGGGTGTGCACGGGGTGTGCACAGGGGGTTAGGGCTGTGCACTGGGTGCTGTGGGTGGTCGCTGGGTGCTGCAGTGGTCACTGGGTGCTCTGAGTGTGCACGGGGTGCTGGGGGTGTTCACGGGGGGTTAGGACTGTGCACTGGGTCCTGCGGGTGGTTGCTTGGTGCTGTGGGTGGTCACTGGATGCTCTGGGTGTTCACAGGGGGTTAGGGCTGTGCACTGGATGCTCTAGGCGGTCACTGGGTGCTCTAGGTGGTCACTGGGTGCTCTGGGTGGTCACTGGGTGCAGCCGGGGTGCATAGGCCGTGTCAGACCCCAACAGTGCCGGAGGGACATGGGATGCCGACAGGGAAATCCCACCAAGCAGGAAAGCGCAGGATTCCTGCTAACTGCAGCAAACTGGAAAGCAGTGAAGGCCACAGAGCCTCGTTAGCAGGGATTCATTCCCGCGCCCCGTCAGCGAGGTTAGGGAATGTGTGCAGGGAGCAGCGCCGGGCCAGGACGGCAGCAGCGGAAGGAGGGGACGGGGACGATGCCCCCATGGGCGGCCGGCGCCCTGGTGGTGGCAGCTCCGTCGGGAGCCGCAGCCGCCTCCGGCCCCGCGCCCCGGGGCCGGTTGCACAAGGAGGATGAGTATTTGTCGTGCCGGCCTCGGGAATTAATGCATGGAAATTAGGCGGGAAGGTGTGGCGTGGGCTTAATGGGAGGCAGGAAATGTGTCAGGGGGGCCGAGCGGCGGGAGTGGGAGAGGCCGCCCAGACGCCTGGGCCCCCGCCGCCGCTCCGGGCAGGCTGCCCACGCGGCAATTGGCCCGTGGGAGTGGGGGACTCCTGGGCCCTGGTTCCGGCCGCTCCCGGGGTGACAGTGACGCGGAGACCAGGGCAATTCCTGTGGCATGAGACATCCGCGATAACGACCTGTTGCAGACGGGAAGTCCTTGGAGACACCAGGGTGGCACAGCCGGCTGACCCCTCGGTGTGCTGGGAAAGGTGGAGGAAGTGGGAAAGGTGCCGCATCCCACGGAAAAGCCCTTGCATGCAGGGATTGGGTACAGGAACCTCTGGCATGGCACATCCAGATCCCACCATGGTGCATCCAGATCCCACCATGGCGGTGCAGATCCCACCATGATGTATTCGGATCCCACCATGGTGCATCCAGATCCCACCACAGTGCATCTGGATCCCACCATGGCACATCCAGCTCCCATCATGGAAACATCTGTATCCCACCATGGTGCATCCAGATCCCACTATGGCGCATCCAGTTCCCACCATGGCGGTCCAGATCCCACCATGATGTATTTGGATCCCACCATGGCACATCCAGCTCCCATCATGGCACGTCTTTATCCCACCATGGTGCATCCAGTTTCCACCATTATGCATCCAGTTCCCATCACAGTGCATCCAGCTCCCATCACGGTGTATCCGGATCCCACCACGGTGCATCTGGATCCCACCACGGTGCATCCAGCTCCCACCACGGTGCATCCGGATCCCACCGTGGTGCTCGGAGCCCCCGGGTGCCCCGAGTTCGTGGGGCGCCCCGCCGGCAGCAGCCGCGGCCATGTCGGGTGCTCGTACCCGCCCTGGGTGCCCTGTAAAAATAAGGGCCTGGCTGGGTTGTGCCACCGCCAGCCCCGGGATGGTAATGACAGCGTGAGTCACGCTGAGCTGTCCCCCGCGGGGGCCGGGAGGGATTCCCACCCTCCCGCGCTCCC